AGGGGCGTACTCCAATGGTTTGGGCACGTTGAACGAATGAGTGAAGACCGAATGGTGAAGAAAATATATAGAGCGAAAGTAAATATTAAAAGGTGTCGAGGTAGACCGAGACTAACTTTCGAAGACCATGTGAGCAAATTGCTCGAAGAGGGGAGGGTCAAGAGTACTCGGATACCTAGACGTGCATGTATGAAGAAGTTAATGAACCTGAAAGAAGCGAAAGAGGTATGTAAGGATCGTGACACTTGGCGATCTGTTCTCTCTGGCTACCCCGTTAGGGATTGTGCGTGAAGATAAGATAAGTATTTTTTTAAAAAACACATTATAAAAAAATTAATGAAAAAAAAATAATTTGCAAATTTTATTTTGTTTTATTATTTCTGCATTGGCCGAGGAGTAAGAGGATTGTCAAAGACCCCGCATTACCGAAACTCGTGTGATTTAGAGGAAATAAAACCACATACAATTTGCAAATTATTTTTTTTTTCATTAAAATTATTTGTTTATTATAAATGTAATTTTTTGAAGAAAAAAATATATATTTCTATGCGCTTGTATACTGATTCTGATAACACACTTAACGGGAACCACAGGGTTTTTGTTACGTATTGTATATTAAACAATAAAATTACATTAATAAGCATAAAGTTAAAATAAATACTTACCATTACGTAGATAGTATAGTAAATAAAAGGCAAAATATTGTCTTTGAAAATAAATAAATTTTTAAAAAAACTTCAAAATATGATAAATAATAGAAATACAAGTCGAAAATATTATAATAATAAAGATAAATAACATTTATAAAATAATTGAAAAATTGGTTAAAAATAGTCTGAGTCGTGGAGGGAGTTCGCGTACAAAAGAATTTTTCTTAAGTTATGGAGGGTGTTCATGCCATCTATGGCTTGTATGGAGGAGCTGCCGAAGACGCATACCCAAGGTTGTCCACATATATAATGGGGTGGTCGGGTATCCGACTGCTTGAAGTACTGTTGCACAATGACTAGTCCTATTTTAGGGACTTATGATAGTAAGTTCTATTATACTAAAGCACTATTATAGGTCTCCTTGATACTATAGAAAGTCTGTATGATGAATTAACATTACAATAGTGTAGTTGTGGGTTGAAGTCCCATATATTAAAGACATATAATAGTAAGGTCTATGATACAAAAGCAATACAATAGAAAGTCTGTATGATGAATTAGCATTACAATAGTATAGTTGTGGGTTGAAGTCCCATATATTAAAAACATATAATAGTAAGGTCTATGATACAAAAGCAATACTATAGAGAGTCTCTATGAAGTATAAGCATTACAATACTAGAGTTGTGGGTTGTAGTCCTATATATTAAAAAGATATTATAGTAAGGTCTATGAAATAAAGCAAATATGTGGAAGGTGTCAGATAAGTAAAAGCATTATATTAATTAATAGAAATGGGACTTGAAAATTATTATTATAGCGGCGTATATGATGCTTCACGAGCAACTGAGACCGAAGTTAACTTGGACTCGTTAACCGATGTGTCCTAGACATAATATCATCTTAGTGCCGGTGGTAAGCGGGTTTGTTGTAGCAATACGGCTTTCCTGTGGACATCGCACACCCATACCGTTTGTGGACAATGTCGTAGCGCATAGCGATGCGTCGTCTATCTTTCGGATTGGGATGAGTGTGTTCACTTTTAAGTGTAACAAGCATACTCAACTTCATGTCTTAGTGCATTAGCACTATGATACGTAGAGTTTGGTTCACTAGAGTCTTAGTAACGTGCTACTATGATGCGTTGGTGTAATTTTTTAGTTAACAACAATACGGGAAAAATACGGGAGCGCCATCCGTATGATAGTTGCATTGATGCTTACTGCTACTTGCGGTATTGCGTCTTGCGATGGATCTGCGGGTGTGCTGCGCCTGATTCGACGCATTCTTGTGGTTCTGGTCGATGGAGGTATGCGGGTGGTGATGTCTGCTGGGATGTATGGGTGACGTTGCGATGGTGTAAGCCCGACGAAAGTATTGATGCTTGTTGCGTTCTACAGCATTGCGTCTCTGCGATGGTTGTTTGGTGGGACGCTATTCTCAATGGCGCTCTCTTCGTCTTGGTTTGACTCACACCTAAGTAGCTTTGCCCAAGTCAGGTCCCTTCATTAGAGGACTACAGACTGTCTGAGCTCCATGATGTTTTATATAACAACATAATAATATATCTCTGTAACTTTCCCGTCTTTGAAAGATTGAAGGCAAATTGTTGGTGGGTGAGACAAACATGATCGAAAATTCATATACTCACAGACCCTTTCTGATGATAAATTATTATTATTATTATCTTATAACTGCATATTGACTATATCTGCCGTTGTGGTAGCTGAAGAGAGGATCCGAGGAGACTCTTAAGACTGCGCTCGAAAGCCCCACAACGTGGGACCCCATTCCCTTAAGGAGAGCGGTAGACTCACACCAAGCTCTGCGGCTATTAACCGTGGTGATCATGCAATTGGTGGTGATGCCATACACTTACATCACGTCTGCAGGAGCGGCTGTCTGGCAGGTGGTGGCACTCACGGAAGGTTTACAGTCAGTGTGCCTATTTACCTAAACCGTGTGACGTACATTCACTGTGGCTGGATTTGTTCGTATTCTTCATGGCGTTTACACGCATTGACATGCGCGACTTCGGTCGATGTTTGAGCTTACGCACTATCAAGGGGCCAAACCCTCTTTTACTGGTTCGCCGGTTATTTTGCTGTGGACTACGGTCCAATACCCAATTTAGCGTTTCCTTCAGGGGGAGCGCATTAAAATGGTTAGCGCTCACCGCGCACGGCATGAGTCGTGTGCCTCCCCCATTTTTTTTTAAATAAATGTGGGAGAGCGAAAGCCTTGTGTCGGATATTTTTGTATATATTGTGAGCCTTTTCCAAGCGGGAAGGGTTAAATAATAATAAATTATTAATTTAAACCTGATACAAGTGAAATAGGGATGTTATTATGTTCTTAACCTTTCTCGAGCCCTGTCAGGCACTACTAACAGCTTTCAATTGCTCTAGTGAATATTTTTTTCTTCCAAAAGATACCTAAAAGATCTAAGTTACTAAACAAACACAACGTAAATAGGGGTGTTAACTATGTAAGACGATCACGCCAAAAATATTACAAACGGCCTATTATTTAACCTTTTTAATTTTTTTTAAACTTTCTCAAGATTTTCAATAATAAAATCAAAATAAAAAATAAAATATCAATTGAAAACTATTTGTTCGCGTAAATAACACATTACCAAAAATTAAGTAAAAGTAAGTTAGATAGGAAAAATTAAGTAAAAAGTAAGTTATATGGAAGACGTTTTCAAGCTACTGGACTGGAAAGGATACGGTATTAACATCAATGGCGAGTACATTACTCACCTTCGATTTGCCGACAATATATTCCTTATGGCAGAATCGCTGAAGGACCTAAGCACTATGCTCAATGACCTCAATGGTGTCTCCCAACGTATAGGTCTTAAGATGAACATGGACAAAACAAAGATCATGTTTAATGTGCCTGTCACACTTATGCCGGTAGTTGTTGGGAGCACTAAGCTCGAAGTTGTTGACGAGTCCGTTTAGCTGGGACAAATAGTCCGACTAGGTAAGTCCAACTTCGACCAAGAGGTCAATCGATGGATTCAACTCGGCTGGGCAGCGTTCTGGAAATTACGACACATCTTCTCGTCAGGTATACCTAAATCTCTGAAAACTGGATTGTATAACCAGTGCGTGTTGCCAGTGATGACTTACGAATCTGAGACGTAGTCCTTCACTGCTGGCCGTATGAGGACGCTTAAGGTCGCTCAGCGAGCTACGGAGAGGGCTATGCTCGGAGTTTCTCTGCGTGATAGACTCAGAAATGAGCATATCCGCAGTAGAGCCAGAGTGACCGACATAGCCCAACGGATTAGTAAGCTGAAGTGGCAATGGGCCGGCCATATAGCTCGAAGAACCGATAACCGATGGGGAAGAAAGGTTCTCGATTGGCAGCCTCGTACCGGTAGGCGTAGTGTAGGGCGACCCCCCATTCGATGGAGTGAGGACCTGGTAAGACATGCAGGAAGTCGATGGATGAGGTGATCAGGGCCGTGCTTTGGGCCTTACTTGGGGGACGCCTATGTTCGGTAGTGGACCTGTGAAGGGCTGTAATGATGATGATGATGATGAAGTTAGATAATATGAAATCCGTAAAATTATTTCTTTTCCATGTATATTATTTAATATTTACCTTTAAGTTACCTAATATTTACGAGAAGTTATTTCACGAAATGCACATATTCATATTTATCTTGTGCTTTTAACGGAATTTTAAACATAATATACAATTCGATTAAATTACATTACAATAGTAATCAAGAGCACAACTTTCGACGGCGCTTGAGTTTTAAATTAATAAATCATTAAAAAGGCGCTAAGAAAACTTGAACGGAAAATTAAGGAACTGGTTTAACTTTACAACATTAAGAAAATGTTTCCTAACAAAAAAGGTTAAAACTTGAAGCAAACTTATAAACGAACAAAAGTCCATAGCAAGTAATGTCGTAACACCGAATTACGTCCGTGGCATCTATTCTTAACAGAGACTAGTTATCAGCGCGGGACAGGATCATAATATGTATGCAAGCTCAGGTGCACTCTGTATTCCCTCACTCTAATAGTTTGATGGCACGGTAACCCGTCAAGAACGGAGAGAGATTATGCCAGTACCAACGGCTTTACGTAATTTCCGAGGCACGGAGGTGAAATACTATCGATATCATGACCACGGGCTGCTACTGAAAATTTCCTGACGGAAAACCTACCAGTTAGGATCAGAACTCGTGTAAACGACCACTAGACCAACAAGGCAGTACATAACAAGTAACGTTAATTTAAAAAAAAAAATGTCTGTCGATTGCAAAATAGATAGATATAATAAATAGTACCTTGCTAAATTTAAATTATTAAAATAATTACTTACTCATCTGCGCCGGCAACAGCGAGATAAAAGATCAAGGCCATCACGCCGCGGAGCGTCATTTTCGACAGCGTTACTTTGCTATGCAATAATTACTACGAAATCAATTGACTTATATACTCAGTGGGCGTTTGCTTTACTAGTGAAATACCGCAGGCTTACTGCAATTATTTTATTTTAGTTATTTTATTCTTGTTGCAAAACTTACAGCTAACATTAACAGTAAATGAATGAATAGCAACTAGAGGGCTATTTAAAAGTTTTCACCTATAGACAATATGAACTTAAAACAATAATTCTAGTTGGCAAGAGATAAACATCGATTAAGAAAAATACAGTAAATTAACAAAATTAAACAGAGGAACACTCAACAAAGGAATTTTTCGATTCGAGAAACTCCAAGTTAGTCAACGCCATTGGAAATAACATTTAAAGTTCTGCATGCACGTATCATAAAAAAGTTTTGCCTGTACTCGTATTTAGCTATTTAGTCGGAGTATGAGGCACATGCAGTAAGCGATGCTTTCGAGGGTAACGTTTGTGTTTTTCGCGGATGCCAGATTATCGTAATACATACATACATATAATCACGCCTCTTTCCCGTAGGGGTAGGCAGAGACCACTTCTTTCCACTTGCTACGATCCTTACATACTTGTTTCGCTTCGTCTACTTTCATTATTCCCTTCATACATGCTCTACGGTTTAGGGTACTCTTAACCTGGCCTTTTTTCAAGACGTCCCTAATTTGGTCTAGAAAAGTCCGCCTAGGTCTACCCCTTCCAGCACTTCCATTCACACTCGCCTTATACACTTTTTTCGTCAATCGTTCTTCATTCGTTCTCTCGATGTGGCCAAACCATCTCAGCATACCTTTCTCAATTTTTGTCACTACATCTTCTTTCAGACCACAACGTTTCCTTATCTCACTATTTCTTATCCTGTCACTCAGTTTAACTCCTATCATACTTCTTAATGCTCTCATCTCAACTGCATTTATTTTACTTTCATGTTTCTTCTGCCATACCCAACATTCACTTCCGTACATGAGTGTCGGAACCAACACCCCCCTCATGCACAGCCAAACGAGCCTTGTTAGACACTTTCCGACTGCTCATAAAGGAGTGCAAAGCTCCATTCACCATGTTTCCTACATTCACTCTTCTTTCGATATCACTCTCACACTTTCCATCTCTTGTAAACTTTGACCCCAGATACACAAACTCTTTCGTAAACGCCGGATTATTGTATTTTAACACAGATATGCAACTTAATAAATCTTTATAAGTATACGTAAAAACCTATTCAAAGAAGCTGCTAAATAACATTGTTGACTTAATTAATATTGATGATAGGTTGTGTCTTAACGGTAAAAAAAAAACAATTTTGGCTTGCTTCTTGTCACTGAACTGGACTGCAGAACGACAGAACGACAACGAACAATGCGCGGCCTCTGTAATCCGACACTTTTGTTTTAAAACCGCCGGATTACAGAGCCCAGCCGAGTAGGAGAGCTGATTTAAGAAACGCCGAACTATTGGACGTGTTGGATTAGTGAGCGCCGGATTATCGAGCGCCTACTGTATTATAAGTTATAACTTTCGATAGGTGGCAGAATTAATTTCTCACAGCGCACAGACTATAGTGCCATCTATTGGATCCTAGCTATGAACTATCGTCTCTACAAAACAACTAATGTATTGTATTATTACGACAACAATCGCTGAAGTTCATAGAGCAACACGGGCTACCGGTGGACCAGAAGGGGGTTATTCCCTTCTGGTCCACCGGTAGCCCGTGTGGTATAGCGTTGTTCCTCGATACAGATCTGTCTGTCATTTTTGCGGGTCTAATCTGCGCACACAAAATCAATCGTCTGTCACTACGAAACTTACACGTAACAATTAAAACAATAAGCTAAGAATATTACACACATATAGATACATTATAACAGTATCGCTCGCTATAACAGTATCGATCAGTTGCTCGACCGATCTGCATATTGTATGCGGGCGAGCGACCTGTGTTGATGAACAAATCCGAAACAACACGACCATTCTTACTGTGATTTTTAAGTTTAAAAGGAAGAAAATAGCAATAATCTGATAAAAAGCTACCTGTATATTAAAGGTAATGCCATATTTTTGTAAATTTGACGTGGCAGATCTCTTATTGCTGCTAAAAATTTAAACATTTCAGCATTTTTGTAGGACGTCGATACAGCGCACCAGAGTCTGCCTAGCAAAGAGGGCGGCCCAACCAGGAAAACCAAAAAGAAAAAAAAAAAAAGGGCAAAACGTCAGACCACCCCACAAGCAGAACATCTCGTGAGACGGTCCAGAAATTTTTTTCTTTATGTGTTTCTGCTTGTACGAGGTTTTCATCATACAGAACGGTAATGTTGACTAAAAACGTCCTTTACTTTACCCAGTCCATCAGGGCAATATGAAGCTTATTCGCAAGAATAAGCCGGTCGCAGTAGAGCTTGAAGGGGTCATTTTCAAGCATAGCTTCCAGCCAGTGCTTATAATAAGGCAGTTTCAGATCCACGAGACCGTATTTCAGAGGAAGATAATTATTAATTATTATTATTTTAACGTACCTACTTCCATCGTACGTACGTACGTATTTTACGTACAGAAAAACATAAACACTCACGCCTGTCACCCAGAGAGGTAGGCAGAGACCAGAGACTTTCATTTGGCACGATCCTAACACACCTCTCTCGCCTCCTCCACATGCATATACCTACGCATACATGCTCGTCGGTTAAAGGTACTCTTAATTTGACCTATTTTCAATATATCGCCAATTTGGTCGATAGGCTTTCGGGTAGGACGTCATTTTCCAACTCTTCCGTTCACTTCTGCAACATAAATTTGCTCTGTCACTTTTCTTCATTCATTATACAGGGTATTTTTGAAACGCTCCCGAAAATGAAGACAGACGCTAGTATTAAGGATACATTTGATGATGAGACTTAAATAAAATTGACCCCGATGCAAAACTAATCATTTTTTGCAACGTTTAATTAACTTTATTCACTTATGTATTCTTTGATATTAGAATCGTAATTTAATATTATAATATAATCGTAATAGAGTCAATATAAAGAGACTTTAATGCCTTTTTTTCCGTAATCCTCATGGACACCTTTAGCTTAGGGGGTACCCAAAAGGTTATGCCGGACTAAAACCTACGGTGGTCTCCATCAGCGCGTAAGGGGGATTCCGGGATCTCCGTTCGGAATGCAACCGGGGCCCCTCTCACGCTTTGCTTTATTGAAAGCACGTACCCGGGGCAGTACTTACTACCCCCAGCACCCTCGCAGTGCTATCGCGATGTTTCGGGACCACTTGCGAGTACAAGCCATCGTCCTCCTCAGGGGGCATTCGGGGCCCCCGCCCCAAATACTTACAACCCCAGAGGCCCCGTTTTCTGGTAGGGGATCACCATCTTCAAGGTGAAGGCCGGTCTCCGAGCGGGATCTGTCTTCCTTTACCCGCACAGCAGTTTCCTTCTAGACCATTACGGACTCACAGAAGGTGGCTACGGCCCTCCACGCCGAATCCTCGCTCAGCATCCTCAGAAAGGTTCCGACCGATCCGGCTTGCCAGGATTATCCGCTCCCGTTCCCATGCTGGGCAAACCGCAAGCGTATGGGACGCGGAATCCTGATCTAGCCCACCACAGTGAAAGCAGTTCGCCGTCGCTTCGCGTCCGATCTTACACAGATAATCACCGAAGCACCCGTGCCCGGTAATTATCTGTGTAAGTCTGTAGGTTTAGTCTTCCTATTCGTCGCTACATCCAGGCTTCGAAAACCGGCAGGATTGCGCCAATGACGCGTTTCCGTGCATAGCGCTCCTCGTTAAGTCGAGTGCGCCATGTCGCCAAAGCTTTCTGTTGCTCCTGCCGTTTTAGAGACTCGAGCGCCTCATCTGGCTCACCGTCACCTCCCTGACAGAGGATGCGAGACGTTAATGCCTATATCAACCCAGCGCTCAACCCAAATGTGCTTAGTGTTTGCGATAACACATCTCTATCCACTTTGTCATAAGCCTTTTCCAAGTCCATCAAAGCTCAATAATCTTTTTCGTTTTTGGCCAACAACTTCTCCGTGATCATGCGCATGGAAAACATGATCCGTACACTCCATTCCCTTTCTAAATGCAACTTGCACATCCTAAATTTTCCCATCAGTTTCTTTCATAAGTCTTCCAATTATTGCTTTAGCATACAGTTTTCCCACAATGCTAAGAAGATTGATACCGCGGTTGTTATTACAGTCCTGTTAACCCCTTTTCCTTTATATATTGGGACTATCACGGCTTTGCACCAGTTTTTCTGGTACCCGCTTCAGTTCCCAACCTAAATTAAACAAGATATACAGCAGGCCTTCCACTACTTCTTCTACAGCCCTTAGCATTTTAAGTTATCTCTCTATCATATGCGGCTACCTTACCTGCTTTCATGCTTTTCATTGCTTTCATTATTTCATCTATACTTATCTCCTTGTATCTTTCCTCTTCTTTCGGTAATTTAATTCCATTAATGCAAACGTCTCCTCACTTATACACGCTTTCAAAATATTCCTTCCATCCTTTTAACTCAAAACTTCGTCATTCAGAATACAGCCATTCTCGTCTCGTATAGCATTTATTCTAGGCTATTTTGAATGTCTCCTGGTAGTTTTAACAATCTATTGATTACTTATTATATAAAAAATATTCTACACTATTAAAAAAAATATTGGCTGTTACACTCGGACAAATAGATGGATTTATAATATAAGAACAATATAAAAAAATTTGCATGTCACGCTCATCTGTCCAGATAAGGTTATCAACAAAGATTTATCAACAATGTACGGGACTCATTCCAAAATTATTTCGATACAGTTCCCATTCCGCCTCGAACGCCTATTCGCTCCGCACAACCTACCCCTCTCACCTACCACAGCCTACGAATTAGGAGTATATATAAAAAGAAAAATACTGACGAACGTATTTGAAATAGCACGTTCTAAAAATATTAATTATTTAA